CTTTTCCCATTTCCAGCGCAAGAACTGGTTCGCAAGAATATGCCGCAAGAGTTTGCTCAATATGCAACAACTAGGATGATTTTAGACTGTACAGAACTGTTTATTCAGCGTCCATCTGCAATGCTTGCACAGTCTGAGACATGGTCTGATTATAAGCACCACAACACTTGGAAGCTGTTGGTAGGTGTGACCCCAAATGGCCAAGTGAGTTTCCTCTCAGACCTCTGGGGAGGGCGAGTCTCTGATAGGCAAATTACAAAGGAAAGCGGCATTTTGGATTTGTTAGAGGCTGGTGACAATGTCATGGTGGATCGTGGCTTTGACATTTCTAACATTGTCCCTGATGGCGTTTCTATCAACATGCCACCATTCTTGGCTGGAAGAGAACAAATGAGTGCAGCAGAAACTGAGGAGACAATGAGTATTGCGTCAGTGCGCATTTATGTGGAACGTGCAATCGGCAGAATTAAGACTTATCATACTTTAGATGGTACGTTGCCCAACACACTTAGTCCATATGCCACTCAGATAGCAACAGTCTGTGGGCTATTGACAAACTTTTTGCCACCTTTGTTGCCACCAGCTAAACAACCACATGTGCTTGCATAATGAAGCAACTAATGTTTGTTCTCTGTAGCCTGGGAATGTCTTGTAAAGAGAAATGATGTATTGATCACTTAAACCCTTAAGCCTAACATCAAAATTTAAATTCTCTTTTGGTCCCTCCTATACATTTCCTACAGAAGAAGTGGGGAGAATTTGTCAAAATATGAAGCAAATTCACTTTGTATGATAATGTCCTCAATTCTCGTGACTACTCTAACATTGTTATTGCAAGGAGAAATTTGATGCTGATCACTCTTGGGACTTAAAGGGTTAAGAGAACAGTGAATGGGCTAATTTTATTTAAGCTTGCAGCTATTTTATTTTAGCTTGCAGCCAAGCTCAAAAACTGATATGGTTCTTTTAATGCTCAAATTGATTTAGGCGTAATCTTTCCTTACATTAAGAAATATTAATGTTGTCAGTACTTAGGGAAAAAAGATGATGTTGGGCATGTGAAATCAAGATAAGGTACCATTGTACATTGTGTAAATAGGGAAAGTGATTGACATGACAGTCAAATGCAAGTTAAACTGTCTTTATGGGAAGGAGCTTCATAATTCTATTGTTCAAACAGTTATTTTTTTTTCTGTGAAAAATAATGTTAATTATTGTCAATGGGCTCTTTTAAATGTTATTTTAAGACAATTTGATGTGCAGGAATAGTTTCCATATGGAATCCATCCACCGTGAATGTAAAGCAGTTTTCCACGTTGAACTCTCCTGGTTAACATTTCTGGAAAAAAGGCTCTCTTAAAGAAGTAAACTATCTTTGGAAGATGCTCATTCCAGCAACTAGCATCAAAAGAAATGTGTTCTATGAATAGAGGCTTGTCTTCACCAAAGTAAACTACAAAAATAATTCCTTTCAGGTCTAGGTTTGAACAATATAGTTGACCTTGGACTTGAATGTAATAGTCATGGTTTCTCTTTAACCTTATGGTTCCATCAGGTATTTTTTCAAAGCAAAAGGTTTTTGCTCTGCAGACTTCGTCGACGTCCATTCCTTCTTTACTAAAAGGAGATTTAATTTCCATACCCCACTTGCTGTTCTGATCCATGTTTGTCACAATCCTGTCCAAACTTGCTCCCAAGTATCGTTTTTTCCTGGACACCAAAAGGCCAACCTCCTCCACTTTTAAACTGAATCCTTGTTGTTGCATTTCTCTCAGGTACAGTTTTACAGCCCTCTCCTCACTTTCAATACCGTACTGCACTGCCTCTGTGGTAAAATTCGAGTAAAGCATTGCTTTAAGTTTTTTGGAAGGTTCCACTTTCGTTTTTGCTGCCTTTCCAAAATTTGACGCTGTCAAAATTGATTTTCGCTTGTCAAACCAGATCGGATTTTGGCTCTGTCCCCTTGTTGACATTTCGGTTTCCCTTATTTCCTCTTCACTGATAGTCCACGATGACACGTGTTCATCCACCATGTCTTTAAAACGATTCGTTGCAATGTCGTAGCTATCAGTGAAGGGAATGGCAATTTCATTCTCTGTCACATTTTCTGAAGACGTGTTACCTGTTCCTGAGCATTTCGATTTAATGTCATGGAAGAGAAAAAATGAACTAGATGGCAAACAATTTTGCAATGCGCTACAAAGCTTTTTGAAGCTGTCAAGGTCTGTAGTTTGCTGTTGTGGGGCCCTTGGATCAAATTTTATGATTTTAGCCTGTGTGCGAATATTTTTCTTTCCAAATCTGATTTTTCTGATCAGTACTTTGTCAAGCGGTTTCGCGGCAACACTTTGGTTTCGAGGTACAATCCAGACTGACAGGCGGGATGTGCAGGTTAAAGGCTCTGGGTTTTGTTGTAAACCTCTCCTGGAAAAATCTTCGATGGCAAAAAGAACCCCTCCGACGTGATTACACTTTCCCTTGCCTTGCAATCCAAGTCCAGCAGGGCAAGTACAAGCAGCGCGCACAACATCGCAAGTAGGTGAGAACTCTACAACAACTCGGTATGGGGTCTTCTTCATCGAAGGTAAAACATTCGCCCCGACGTACCTTTTGTTGTTGTGGTTTTTGCATTCTAACTTCTTCACATTTCCTTCAAAATAGAACTGGTAAGACTTGAGTTTCTTGTAGTTAGTTCCCTTTAGAACGATATGACGATACTTGCGCGTGGATACCACAACGTAATCGTATAACTGACTAAAGTTCATTTCAGGTAAATTTCTTAGATCTGTCGACCATCCCAGTGCCAAAATCCTTCTCATCGTCGAATCGTATGTGAACTCCTCGTTGCTTGGTCCACTACTTCCAGTGTCGTCGCTATTCGCAGCTGATGGCAAAATCTCTCGCATAAGCAATGCGTAGACTTTTAACACCAAATCAGCCTTCGTCCCACCTGACGACTCTGAATGGGATCGCAAAGTAATGCGTAAATCCTTGGCTGTAAGCCATTGGATATCACAGAGTGACACGATTTCCTGGTCTTTATATTTTAAAACCATTTCTGTGGAACGATTGCAAAGAAGAACGTGAAATCGCACTACAGAGGCTACTCTAACACTGCTATCAGCTGTTTGGAATCTTCCGCGACTCAACACTAACCTCGCTATCATGTTTGCGCGGTTACACATTCAATATGGCACCGGGAACTGTAAAAAGGGCTATTGCACAGATATCATACTAGACAATGGCTACACTGGTACAATAACCACCTCAAATGTTGAATCGATTGCCAATGCTGTCGCTGTCAGTATGTTGAGTAGAAGGCAACTGATGCTGAAAGAATTCAAAAAGGGCTTGGAGTTGTATGGTCTAATAGAAATTGTGGTCAAGTTCCCACAACATTGTAAAGCGCTCTTTGTTTTTGGGAAAACAAGAGCCAGTTGATGCCAATTATCTGTTTTCTTTGCTGAAACCTGAATACTCATCTCAGGACAGCCCACGTCATTCAACTGCGCAGTCAATCATGGACATTTTCCAAGACTTTGTATTCAGTCTGGAAGACGAGAAGAAGATCTCTGGTTACAAAGAGGCTTTGGCATGGAAACCTTTTGCATGGAAACCTTTTGCATGGAAACCTTTTGCATGGAAACCATCAGAAGATACTTTAGATTCAGGTGATGAATCTCAAGACGAAGATAGATTCAATGAAGCAGTTTTAAGTCCAAGCTCTTTAATGGGTTGGCTAACTGGTCAGACACACTGGGACTTACTTGAGCAATCACCCATTTATGTCAAGTTTGACCATGATTGCCTAGAACGAAATCCAAGCCACAAGATCTGCTTCCCAGAAGCATGTCGAAGAGAAATCACTCTTCCTGTTGCACACATGTTGTCCTATGAATCTTTTCAGGAAAATTTTGTTTTGGCATTTAGCAAAGGTCAAGCCTTTTCCAGAGTTTAATTCGAAATTATCTTGCCCAATGAGAATTGTTGGGACAACTTAGGGGCTGTTTACATGGGAAAAAGTTGTCTTTGCTAGGAGGGTCACCCTCTTTGCGAAAGAGGGTGACCCTACCAGTAGGGTGACCCTCCTAGCCGAGGCAAGTTGAAAAATCTCATGTAAACAATCGACAGCGTCATGCCAAAATATATATGGGAATTTGACTCACCTAGGGTAACCCTAGGAGGAGGGTGACCCTTCTACCTGGGACAACTTTTTCCCATGTAAACGGGTCGTAACAAAAAATATTGTACAGCACACACAAGGACATACAAAATATATTTGTGTTTGTTGGAAGTTTGACCTGCTCTAAATTTCAATAAACATACAGTCTGTACATGACTTTCAAAAAGGAAAATGTAGCATCAACTTACAAAGTAGGCAGATATATCTTGTCATTTGGACTCAACAGAACACACATTACTGTTCATTGTTATCAGAGATGATATTCATCATTTACTTTACATGGGCATATAAAAAAATGTGATATATTCCAGAAAGCCATGGATCAGTTGCCTTTATGGTTTGCAACAGGCACTTTCATTGGTCCATGAAATAATCGGACACAATACTTTATTAATTATAGTTAAGATTGGGGTTCACTGTAACTATGATGATGAAAACAACAAGTTGCCTATCTTTTGACAAATTGAAACCATGAAGTCGCCTCCCCCTGAATAGTCTTTTACCATGTGTCATTTTTAGGTAGTGTTTATATAAACCTTATTATATCTTTGAGTTTTATCTGGCACTTCATTCACAACATAAAGTGAGATGTTATTTTATATTTAAAATGCTTCTCTCAGCAGAATCACATAGCAAACTTCAACTGTAACATCTCATGTGAAAAATAAGACAACACATTGTAGCAGTAGATTGTAAACTTGGATCAGTAATACATAGTTACTGCATATTCATTGATTGCTGGAGGGTTAATATTGAAATTTTCAAAACATTTTGTTCCTGTTGGATATTGTTTAATAATAGATTTGTCTCGAAAAGGACTGTTTTACCATTTATGGCATTGTTCACATATGATTATTACTATGATTGTTATTGAAATTAAAATGGTTATTTAAATTCAGTGCATGTGTCTCTTATCTAGCGCCCACTAATTGCAATGTTTACTAATTCTCCATACAACTCCAATGCTTCTCCAATGCTTAGGTTTATCCTTGTTGAGTTTCTCAATTATGCAATGAAAATAATCTTGGTAGTCATCATCTTCATCATCCTTTTGTACAAGATGGCTATACACCCTATGCATAACGAGAAGAGACTGGGAGCGATAAACGTGAAAACGAGGTTAGTTGGGCCTTGTTGGCTCGTGTTAAAAATATGGCCGCTCATGACTCTGTAAGTAGTCGTCTTTCTCAGATTCTTACGGAGGAAGATATCCCAGGAGCATCGCTTCAAGGAAGAAATCCGACTGCTCTAAAATCAGATGAACTTCGTTTTTGGTTAAAATGTCGTGGCGATCCAGCAAAGGGGTTAAAAACAAAGGCACAATTGGCGAAAAGGCAAGTACAGTATTTGTCTGTCGTGCGTGATACTTCTTAGAATTAAACAGATTTTAATATCGTACAAGAAGATCAAAGGATTTTAGGAATTACTTTTC